GCTGATGGAACTGTTCAAGCTAATGCACCATGCCCAACTTTACCTCAAAAATTAGCTATATCAAGGATGTCGTATTCAAGATGATTTGGACATCTTCATTTTATAATGGTATGTCATATATCTGCTCACAACTAATGTGACTAACGAAATATCTGAAGTATCACATTCAAGAAGGCGTACTCCTCAGCTTCGTTCAGTAAAATATTCATTTCTTGTCAGCATCTGATAGAAGAGGATCTCAACCATCTGGCAAGCATATATGTTGTCGATGGAATTTCCGCGATATTTTGGATATGGTCAAAATTCTGGGAGAAGGTCACATATCAGCTAGCTCATCACTTGCATATGACTAATGAAGTATCTTAGGCACTACTACATTCCAGAAACCCAATTCCTCAGCTTTGTTCAGTAACATGTTAATTTCTTGTGAGCACTGCATGCTGTTTATGGAGAAATATGAACCAGCTGATTTGAATTATAGTCATGGTTACTTGTCATTCACATAATGGTTTGAAATTTTAGTAAGTATGAATCATTAATCATTCATCGCTGGCTGACTGTGAGGATTTCGTAAGATCCTCTTCTCTCAATAAGTAATAAGCAAGAGAAAAGGATGAGTGGATGGATCTGCAATTCAAAGTAGCTGACACTATCATGTTTTTTTGTTTACCATTCTATGTGCTTGTATCAACCCTCTTTATCCAACTGCACTTAATTCATTAATCTCTTCTCTGCAGTCATATCTGCTGTTTCTACACAGCAATTGTCCGTTTACGGCAGATATGATGCCGTTTTGCTAAAACATTTGAGCATTTTATTGCACATGGTCATTTTACTTTGAATCACGCAGTGGTCTCATTCGATCTTCTACTGAATATGTTCATAATCAGATAGAATCGGATGAGTTTCATTGTCAGCGTATAAGAAGAACGCGTGGAAATTCTCTATAAAGTTGTGTTCGAATTAATTTCAGCTGAGTCAGAGTCCACTATCGTTCAGAAGAAGCCATTCGTCGGTTGTATCGAATAACGGATGCCAGTGCTTACGTCGTCTTTTGTTGCTTCGGCTCGTTTGTTTCTAAACATAGCAAAGATTGCAAATCTCCTCTTGCTGTATTTTTTTGGAAAATTTCATGCACCATAAATTTACTGTGTACTATTATGATCTGATGATATTGGTCAATGTTAGTTGATATTGGTGAACTATATTAGATAATATTGATCTTTGGATTTCGGTTAAATTGGTTGTATTAGTTAATATTGATAATACTGGTCAATGTCTATTGTTCTAATGCAATTTTTGGCTAACAATGACATTTCCGACTGTATCTAATGTACAATATGAAAATTGCTTTGAATGGTCGAGAATACTGTGGAAACCCACCATAAGGTCTTTGGCAAACAAATTTTTGAATCGCCACTTGCTGCGGCTACGCTTCCGCGATTCACGATCCACGCCACTCGATTGACTAATTGGAATGGCTCGAACGGGAGTTGAAAGACCACGTTCTTGGGTGCCTCTTAAGTTTCTCGGTCCAACATCAGAGGGCTGTCGGATGGAGGCCGCGGCTTCGTCTTGGAAATCAACAGATACCTCGTGCGCATCGCGTCGTGCGCCTGCGCCATCTTCTTGCTGTTGTTGTGCTCCATCCGATCCTGCGTCGAAATTGTTTTGATCATTCATTCCGATGTTTTGATCATCATCAAAATTAAGTTGACAATACACGGAAACGGTAGCGAAATTTCATGAGGTGATAGTGGCGAGGACTTGACTGTGAGATCTTATTACGAGGACCATATCTATAGTGAGAATATATTGAGAATATCTACTCGGAATAACACGAGAACCCATCTTATCTAGAATCTCATCCATCTTATATCATCTATCTGGATTGTGAACTACAACAAGCAATGAACATTTGAACATTTGCTCGTTGTCATCTAGCATAAAATCTGTTAGCCTGATGACTGAAGCATTGCTGCTCGATATCAGGATTGATAACAATGATGATAACGATTGAAACTGATGGCGATGGTCGCAGTGATATTCTCGAATTAAACTGATTAATAGCTGAAGTGAGCAATAATACCCTGTGGTTCATTCGGCTCGTCAATGACTCCTAAATCGCGTTCACTCCACGCAATTGAGACTGGTGTCGTATTTACGGCCACTTCAGGATTAGCCTAAAATGACTGGCGGACTTTGAAATCACTCAGGCTTGTTTTCAGCTATTGAACCCGTAATTTAGGAC